GTTGTTGTTGTTGTTGTTGTTGTTGTTGTTGTTGTTGTTGTTGTTGTATGATTGTTTGTTTGTTTGCTTGCTTGCTTGTTTGCTTGTCTGTTTGTTTGTTTGTTTGATTGTTTGTTTGTGTGTGTGTTTGTGTGTTTGTGCGTTTCTTTGTTTGTTTGTTTGTTTGTTGGCTGTTTGTTTGTTGTTTGCTTGTTGTTTGCTTGTTGTTGTTGTTGCTGTTGCTGTTGTTGCTGCTGCTGTTGGTGTTGTTGTTGCTGTTGCTGTTGCTGTTGCTGTTGTTGTTGTTGTTGTCGTTGTCGTTGTCGTTGTTGTTGTTGTTGTTGTTTGTTTTTGTTGATTGCATAACACCATCATAAAATACTGAGTAATTACGGCTATAACTGTGATGGCCGGATGTAAGACACTGTTATACATCTATAGCGGCTGTACAGCACTGGTGGAAGGGTGTGGAGTCCATGGACACCTGGGGAAAACCTGGGCGAAGCCGAGACATATCAAGGTTATAGTCCAATGGTTTCAGAGTAGATGGCACTGGCACCCCTACATGTCTTTAGATGGGGTCCATATAAACCACCTCTTGGTGATTGTGCCATCTACTCTGAAACCACTGTAATATATATATATATAGTCCAATGACGTCCAATGAGTCATGCATATTGTACTCACCCAGTTCCACACACCCCGTTTTGAGGGGTTCATCTTGGGGCCCGGAAGCCAGGCCTCTTGGAAGCCAGCTTTGACGATACTTAAAAATAAACAGCCTCAATGGGGACCAGACCAGCTTTGGGCGACACACACAATATATGGGTAACTCATTTGTGCTTTTTTGCTTCCTGCTTCTTTTGAACCTATTTATATGCATATAAATAATGTTTTATCAGACAAACTTGCAGACTCGTGCTTGTTGTCAAAACACTCCGGACACACCAAACAAGGAGAACAAAGTAAGCAATGGGCTATCCGATGGCTATCCCATGCTATCCCCAGCATCCCGCACATAGTACTCATGGCCAGGATGTTGGGTAGTCGCTGCAGGGACTACACAACATCTACAAACCCATCGGCAACACGCAACCATTGGCATTGTGCTCTCACGGAGTCGAGTGTGAGAACAGGACACTGTGCACCTTGAACAGGACACTGTGAGAACAGCAACCGGCTCCTTCTGCTACATTTGACAGCTGCTATCTTGATGTGTATATACATATATCTACATTATACAAATATATATATATATTACTTATTAAACTATATTTATATAATATATATGTATATTAATATAATGACGACTATAGTGACGTAGTGTTGCAGCTAACACTCTAGAGGTGACTGAACGGGTAGGGGTGGATGGCACATTCACGCTATAGGTTTGCCCCTTCCCGACACACTGTGCAGTTGCAGGAAACACTTCATCTGAGGACAGCGAGCGGTTCTCCTTCGAAGAAGCTTTCCTTTTCATCAGGCGACCTTGAGACACGTGTCAACCCAGCCAATCAGACCGACAGGAAATGAGGATCTACTCAGGGTGGCCAGCGTATAGATGTTCAGCTTGATAGAGGCCTCTGCAACAATGAACTGTGAAAATATCCCTTTATCCATTCTCCGCTTGAAATGTTGGAGCTTTGGCTTAATGGGAGAGGTGTTGTTGCTTGTCCATGCGTCATTGAACGAACTCCCCCATGGTCACCAGAGGCACAGCTTTGACATTTGAGATCCATCTATGACGCCCCAAGATCAACTGTTTGTTTCCAATCGTAAGTAGGCCCGCGCTTCCTCCCCAAAAAAAAAAAATAATAAAATAGAGATGATTGTATTTGGACCGTTTGACTAAAACGTGTTCCACTCCTGGAGATATGCAGGACTCTATCCTCCCGAGGTATGTGGTTCACCCAACATGCCTCTCACCTAGCAGGCCGAAACAAGACAATATAAGACAATCAAAGTATAAGTATATAATGAAGAATGTTGGCCAGGGTGGAATAGAAATACTAATACTTAGGTCTCACATCACCCAAAGCATGGTTCATAGTCATAGACTTGTACCAGGCCCTACCATCTGTTTACTGTCCAAAAAGCATCCAATCTGGCTGGTCCTGGTTTACCCATGTTTACCCAAGGTCTCCCTAAATCTCATTCAGCCAAGCCATGCCAAGTCATACATGAAGGATCATGAAGGGTGGCTGTTTGGCATCTGGGCAGCTTGTCCTCCCCACCAAGCTACAACATCATTGGTCATACAACATGTTCTGGAAACTTGGAATAGCATGTTTCAGTCCTGAGCCTGATCTCTGCTGGTTACCACGTGGATTCCGCACTCTTGGTGTTTCTTTCTCGTATCTTTGCAGGCCGAGTTGCTTCAATTGGATGTTGGCCAAAAAGGAGAAGACCTACACCGAGGTGCTTCACTCATTACCGAGGTGCTTCACCCTTCACCGAGGTTTACTTCTGGTTCTTGAGGTGAGCTTCTTGGATTGGCTTTTGGCTTTTGGCGTCGCCACCAGGTTCATGCAAGTCGGCCAGCCCGCGGTCGGAAACGGAGAACAATTGACGTAGAAGAAATCACTGGCGGAGATGAAGTCAGAAGTTTAAGTGTCTAGGAATGTCTAGGATATGGGACATGAAAACGTTCACATTCATCCTGATTGTTTTTCTTTGTGACAGCAACAATCCATCCGGCTAGAAGTTAACCTCAGGCCTCAAGACACCACACCACACTCTCCAGGCCTGAACCGCTGAGTGTTCTTGGAAGAACGAGAGGCCAATGACTTCGCTGATCGGGCTTCGCCTCCCGAAGTCGATCGTTCTTGTGGCGTGCTGGGAGTCTGAGTGAACTATACTCGGTGTGGAGTCTTCCCGCTGGGTCCTATAACTCGAGCCAGAAAACCCTAGGACCATGTACAGAAAACCCTAGGAGCGTCACTAGTGACGGCTTTGGAGGCTTCCAATCGTTTATCGATCATGATACAGGTGGACGTTAGTAGAAGCTCAGCAAATGTTCCTGAAAACCAGGCTTTGTCTCTCCTTGGCTATACGCAACACTACCACAAGACCATGACAACCACCTGGTTAAGGCTGAGATCGCGTGGCCATTGATGAACTCCACGCGCAAAAAAAACCGCGCGGCGTGATGCTACAGAAAAGTGCGGACGGATCAGCGACAACCCCAAGCACCCCAAAGAGGTGTTTTCAGATTAGGAACTATAGGTAGCTTCTTGCAACTAGTAGCGATGCACTTGCTCCGTTCGTAGCGATGCCCAGGCTACTAGTAGGTTCTTGCTACTAGTAGTAATGCCCGTGTTACTAGTAGCGATGCCCTAGCTATTGGTAGCGTCCTTGTGTGAACAGAGTTTCCCACACTGGTTCCTTCTACAACTCAGAAGCTGAGAGAATGTGTATTATACTTAGCATGGATGATGATTAGTGGACAATCAACATCAGCGGAAGTTTGGCAACGTAAAGTGAAATCATGAGCTCTTGCAAGCACTTGACCCTGCAAAGGTGTGTACAGTGTGCATGTATACCAGCCCGGTAACCACAAAACCACCTGGTCCATTCCCTGCCTACATGGTCACCCCATCCAACTCTCAAACCCATCCAACCCCCCAGTCCCCGTGCCCGCGCAGTGGTTTGGGATTCTGCAAATCTTGGAACACCTTTCGCAACTCCGAAGGGACGTCCTGGTCGCCGCAGTTTCGAGCGACCTGGTCGCCGCTTCGCATTTGGGCGCTTGAGAATGTTGAGCTACTTCAAGGTGGTCATGTCCGGAAGCTCCAGAAACTCCAAGCACTTGGGGATCTTCTTCAGTGAGGTTGTGTTCCCCTACTTCTCAAGGGAGCTGGACTTCCAACTCCAAACAGGGTGACTGATGCGCCCAGCGAGTGACGAATTGGATCGCCCAGCGAGTCTGGAGTTGCGAGCTGCGTGTGAAGTTGACGACCAAAGCAGGAAGCTTGGACCAAGGTGTGTAGTTTACGTTTTCTTTGGATTCTCAAGGTGTGCGTTTCTTCTTCACTTTTTCACATACCTTGGGTCACTCAACAAAAGAAGAAGGCTCCCAGTGGTGACCAAATGGACGATATTGAAGGAGTGCGTGAAGGGGTGCGTCGTTTTTCTTGCCCGACTGAAGTCCAAGTCCACTTGATGTTGACCGACTGAAGCGAAAGAAATTCCTTGACTCGGGTCACCTAGTCAGACCATTCTTGTTATCACCTGTGACTCCGGTATGCAGGAGGGGAGGTGCCGACCCACTCACTGGATGGGTTTAACATCTGGAACACCGGCAGAGTCTCGGCCGGCGCCCCTAAATCCTAAACCCAGACCATGCATGTGGAATAGTTATGACCCGAAAATGTGGATAGAACTGTTCACATGGATGGTCTGGGTCATATCGAACGCAGTCGAAGCAACGGACTCCTTCTGCGCTCGAGCCATATCCAGCTGCATGTGAGTCCCATACGATCCCGCAGCCGCGGAGGAAAAGACCTCGAAGGAGGAGACTAAACGAATATACATGCGAAATTGAGGAGGATACTCCATTCCCAATTGATCGATCCAAGTCTTTCATGGTCATTTGATGCCGATTTCAAGCAGTACTGTACGAAAGCGTATAGGCACAACAAAAACACACGCACAATCACGCACATGCAATCACATGCATCTAAGTCAAAGTCAGGATCAACGTAATGATCAAAGTACACAGTGTGGATCGGCACGAGGAGACTCCTTCCCAAGTCTTTCATCGGTTGCGATGACTTTCTGTACGTCTTCCCATCAGTAGAAATCGCTCGCGGGGACTTTATGTGGCTCGGGTTGCAGCTGCGATGGTCTTGACATCGCCATTGTGGACCTTCTGGGGTTGAGAGACTCCCACAAAATTGGACAATAATATAGTTAGGATTCTGCCTAAACTCCTCTTAGAGGCATCAAATCCGGCACTGGCTGCTTAAGCTAAGTGAACCTTTCATACACGAGCCCGAAATTCGGTCAGAAAGATCTGGGAGTTCATCTGGAGTGTCACTGGGCACGCCAGGCATAGGCGATGAGCACAGCTGCACCCCACATATCGATACCTGGCATGTGGTTCACAAAGACGATGCACATGACTCAGAAACCGGAGGTCTGTGACCAACCTGAACCTTGAGAAAAGCGTCGAACTTCACCATGGAACGAGAATTGCACGTACAAACCATGGTTCTCGTGTGAAACCCGTGTGAAACCCGTCGCCACCAAATGGCAATGCTTCAACACACCGAACCCATCAAACCTGCCCTGTGCTGTGGCACTGGACTCCCTTGTGGCCTATGGATGGGATGCCGCCCTCTTGCAAAGCAGCTGGAGGCTCAGGCCACCTGGGCAAACGTGGGTGAAAAAGGACACAAAGCCCGGAGTGATTCAGAGAACCACAAAGAGGGGCGGTTCTAAACATGGGCTGCGCAACCAAATGGTCGCTATGTGGCC